ACGCTGCTCATCTTCACCATGTCCTTCCTCTGCAGCTGGCTGCTCTTTGGCATGGTCTGGTGGCTCATCGCCTTCGCCCACGGAGACCTGGACCACAGCACCCGGCTGCAGCGTGACCCCGGAGAGGGGGCGGCGGGGTCCCCGGCCGGCTTCGTGGCCTGCGTGACCAGCATCCACTCCTTCACCTCCGCCTTCCTCTTCTCCATCGAGGTGCAGGTGACGATCGGCTTTGGGGGACGCATGGTGACGGAGGAGTGCCCGGCCGCCATCCTGGTGCTGATTGTGCAGAACATCGTGGGGCTGGTGATCAACGCCATCATGCTGGGCTGCATCTTCATGAAGACCTCGCAGGCCCACCGCCGAGCTGAGACCCTCATCTTCAGCAAGCACGCGGTCATCGCCCTGCGGGAGGGCAAACTCTGCTTCATGCTGCGGGTGGGTGACCTCCGGAAGAGCATGATCATCAGCGCCACCATCCGCATGCAGGTGGTGAAGAAGACCGCCAGCCTGGAGGGGGAGGTGGTACCCCTCAACCAGATCGACATCCAGATGGAGAACCCCGTGGGGGGCAACAGCATCTTCCTTGTCTCCCCACTCATCATCTACCATGTGATAGACAAGAACAGCCCCCTCTACGACATCTCCCCCCTGAACCTTCACCACCATGAGGACCTGGAGATCATCGTCATCTTGGAAGGGGTGGTGGAGACCACGGGCATCACCACTCAAGCCAGAACCTCCTACCTGGCGGATGAAATCCTCTGGGGCCAAAGGTTTGTGCCCATCGTGGCAGAGGAAGATGGGCGATACTCTGTGGACTACTCTAAATTTGGCAACACGGTGAAAGTGCCCACCCCTTCGTGCACCGCTAGGCAGCTGGAGGAGGACAAGAGCATCATGGACACCATGCCATTGTCCCCTAAAGGCACAATAAGGAAGAGGTCTGTCAAGCTAAAGCCCAGGTTTACCATAAGCGATGAGCCTTCCTGATGCCTTTTGACTGGGAAACTCTGTTAGGGCTTTGTGTTTGAAAGATCCCATAAACTCAAAACACACTAACGTGGCCTCTTACTTTTTTTAAAATTCAGGTTGGTAGCACAAGGTATGTCTGGTGTTATTTATTGTGGGAGAAATCTAAAGCTAATTATATTTTTTTAAAGGTGTGAGAGATTTCAAGCAGCACTAGGAGTAAGAAAATCATGGTCTGCAGCTTTAAATTTCAATTCAGACTGTCCTAGTTAATTGCACGATCATTTTGCATTGATTCATCTGCAGGTAATGACATTTTCTCTCAAAAAAGAAAAGATTATATTTATTCTCAGAGTACTTCGGGTCTTGCAGTGTCCTCAAGTCAGTAGGTTTTAACTGTTTTTTTCCTAACTTGAGTAATCAATATAGTAAAATATTAATAAGTAATAAAGCAGGCTGGATTTAAATGATAAAAGAGGGTCAAGCAATGTCGTGTACAACACACGAGCAGATCTGGCAGTGTCTGTGTATTATACCCTTTGTCTCCAAGAAATTAACTGCTGGATTTCCTTCATCCATATTGTATCGTGTGGAGCCACTCCTACCACAGGCAATACAAAATGCATTTGAAAATTTACTGCTGTTTATTTTAAACCCCTTTATACTTCCAAAATAAAACATTCAGGAATACCTTTTCGGACTGTCCATTTCTGATAGTAAGTAAAGCTTTGCCTTTAAAAAGTAGCAGATAGTATACAGCTGAAACAGATCAGAAATAAGAAAAATGCTGTATTCTAATTTCTAAATGAAGAGAAACAACATCTCCCCCCACCCTGAGCCACATGGCAATAGGATACCCAGTGAAAAAATTAATCTCTCCCTTAGCTGAGAGTGAATTCTGTTAGATAATCGGGGAATATAAATAGAGTTAGCTATTTTAAATGGCAGGGCAATGCTGAATGCCGAAATTATATCTGCATGCAGTGGGCAAACCCTTCCACTCCGTTCCCTTTTGTGAAAGAAGCTGCTGGGTTTGTGCTCAGGGAAGGGAGGGGTGTGTCAGGCAGCGTGGTCACCTCTGGGAGGCTGTCACCAGAGGGACTCCTGCTGAGGAAGCGGTTCCCTGGCCGGTCACACCCTGACCCGCCCCCGCGCCCCGCGCCTGCCTTGGCTTTAGCTGAACTCAGGATCTGGCATTTGCTGGCAAACGGGCAGGAGCCGCGTTCGCCCCAGAGCGGCACCCGGAGCAGCTCACACTCCTGCAGAGCCTCTGCTCGGGGCTGTTGGTAACGGGGCACTGTGGTGTCTGTGCAGGGCTGTGAGGAGACAGCAGCAGCATTAACTACAGCGTGCTGTTAACAGTTACTCCAGTCAGAGAAAGGTAATGTTGTCCAAAGGAAACCTAAATAAGCGTTACAGAACCGGCCCAACACCTGGTGGCACAGCTATGCAGAGAGGCACCACATTACTTTCAGCTGTATTGTTCAAGGAGCTTCTAGTATCATGTACTTGTGTGTTCTGTAGTTCATGACAGACACCAAAAATGGTTTGTGTTGGCAATAATATGGCAGATTTCTGATGCCTTGTCAGTTTAACAATATGACAAACTCGTTGAAAAGTGTGACAAGACTTCCATATAGACTATGGAATATTTTCAGGTATCTATATTAAAATGAAATAATGTTTGGGTAATATCAAATGTTGTTCTAAAGTGATAAAATAGTAGTTGTATTTTAGTATTTATGTATTTATGAAGACCTGCATTAGCACTATCAGACTGCCAGTTAATAGAATAAATGCCTGTTCAGTTTCTGAATTGCTGGTACTCTGGGTGATGCTGCTTTAGTGGGGGGGTTGGATGAGATGATCTCCAGAGGTCCCTTCCAGCCCCTGCCATTTGGTGAGTCTTTAATGCACCGAAACTCTTCTGTGAGCAGCTCTGCAGGGGTGATACATTGCTCAATGGAAAGACAGTCAGAGTACCATGAGCAAGTAGTAGGCAAAGCAAATCTGGAAAGGCATGGTTCACATTGTAATCATAAAACAACCTCTTTTTTAAAATAGGGAATGATTAAATGCCATTGATGATTAAATTTCTTCTGTAAGACTGAGTCTAATTGCCACATTATTTCCCAGCTTTCCCTTTTACTGCCTTTTGTTCCATTGACCATCAGAGGGGTACTTAGAGTAGAGCTGTTTGCATTTCCCTGACACCTTTATTCCTTTGAAAGTTCATTGTTGTTTATCACTTGTCACAATACCACTGCTCAGTTCTTACAAGAGTCATAGACAAAATACTGGAGTTAGCCTTCCAGTGACCAGAAATTGTTGGCTTCTCCTTATTGCCTTATTTCAATAGGTGAGATACCCCTGACGGTTCTTTCACAAAACCTCTTCAGCCCTGGTAGCCTTTTAGAGCTCTTTTCAGGATTTGGCCTGTGTGTGAAGCCATTTCAGCAGCACTGCCATCCAACTGTTTTCAGGAGCTGACGCAAGAATCTTTTTTCCCTCAGGGAAATCTGTGCTGGAGAGGTAGAAAATTCTCTTTGTTCACTGTGAGATGGGAGGGGAAAGGCAGGAGGAAACAGCTTGCAGTCACTGGGCTGCTTTCAGAACCACCTTTTATGTCACTCCTGTTACAAGAACCTGCCTAGTTTTCTGAAGTTATGCAATAAACAAGCATAACAATATTTTGAGGAAGGCAAGATTTGTGATATTAAAAGCACCATAGTGAATTATTTCAATCAAAGTATTGGTGATTTTGAATCTCAGGATTTCTTTAATTTAAAATTCTGCTCTTTCACCATTGAGAAGCATTTCAGGGACAGAGCAAGGAAGAATAAGTGTATTTATTTCACACCAGAGATACTGCTTACTTGAGAGGATCCCTTCATTTTGTCATTTACAAAGTATTTGGCAACACAGATATCTAAAATTGTTTTTAAAGTTGTACTTCTGCGACTGCCCCATTCTCTGTAGGAAGGCTCTGAAGAAGGTGTTGCTGCCAGCACTTGACATGGAAAACTCCCCATTCTTAGCAAGGAGCAAACACTGCATTTCCTGTAGCTGGAGTCTGAAGTGAGTGAACCTTTGCAGTGTCTGTCTCAGCCTACATCTGCTTTTTGATCTGTGGTACTGCAGCTGGGCTCCTGCTGAGCAGCTCCCACAGGTGCTCTGCACAGAGCAGTGGGAGGGAAGCTGCAGGCCACCTGCTCAGGGCGTGCCCTCAGGAGCTGGGGGTTTAGTGGTGACCCTTTGCTGAGTCCGGGCTTTGGCAGAACCAGCTGTGTCTATGGGAGTTGCCCTTCATGTGCTTCAGAGTCCAGAGATGTTATCAGTTTATAATCTTAGTTCACATTGTTGGGGGCACCAAGACTGGAGTTTGTTAAGCTGGTTAGATGGACAGAAGGGTCCCAAAGCTCATTAATCAGAAGGAGTGACTGGAGAACACCTTATCTGCCATAGTTCTGTAACACTTGTAGTGACTGCTGGTGAGACTGTAGCCACTGGGTGTGTCCATTTCGTGTTGTATTTCCTAATGAAACCAAGTAACATACGTGTACAAAAGGAGAGTGTAACAAGGTCTGACTTGGTCTCTTTATCCCCCATGGTGCATGGTGAGTGTGGTTTTGTAGCAGTGTACTTCAGTAGGACCGTGCCCCTTTAAAATAGATACAAACCAGAAGTGGACTCAAGAGGCTGCATATTAAGGCAAAAGAGGGTCAGGGTTACAAAATAAATACACAGAACATGTAAAATCCACAAGTGATGCAATGAGAAGACAATGTTGTTACGTGAAAGGGAAGGGGGGGTAGGTGGGGGGTAGGGAGAGACAAATTTGGTAAGAGACAAATCCCCTTGCTTTCTAGC